ACACACACACACACACACACACACACCCCGAACACACACACACACCCCCCAAACACACCCCCGAAACATTGGTTGTGTCTCCAATATTTCCCTACCACCACGAGTGGGCTGGAAGGGGGCAAGATCTTGGGAGGCGACGTAGCCAAGACACCTGACCCAAACCAAAGGGATATTCCATACTATATGACATCAGCTAGGATATGAAAACTAAGGGAAAAGGAAGAGGAGGGGGGACATTCATCTTCTGTGACGTTTTGTCTTCTGGAAGAACAACTATGTATACTGGAGCCCTACTTCCCGGGAAGTGGCTGGACATCACCTGCTAATGGGAAGTAGAGAATAAAATCTTCAGGGTTTTTTTTTCCCTTTGCTACCATGCGTGGCCTTTGCTTTTGCTTTTTCTTTATTAAACCACCTTTATCAACCACGAGGTTGGTTTTTTTCTTTCCGTCTCATTCTCTCCCTGCCTGTCATGCTGAAGAGGCGAGTGATAGAGTGGCGTGGTGGCACCTGGCATCCAGCCAAGGTCAAACCACCACAACAACAATGAAGTAAAAAAACTTGAAATATTTTTGTGTTTTATTCAGTAAAACCAAGCAGGTTCATATTATACCAAAATCTATTACACCAACATCTGCCAGGGAAATTAAAACAAAATATCCTCCCTTAGGAATTTCTGCATGCTCCAGCTAAAGCTGTACATATAATGTGGATGCCAGGAAAATCTGACATGTTGTTGGAGCAAACACTTCTGAAATCTCTTGTGTTGTTCTGTTTTAGCAACTTCACTGTGCGGTGGTTGGAAGTGAAAATGCCAAGCGGTATTTTGAGGCAGTGCAAGGATCAAAGGAACATCAAGGAGAGCTTTTTGGGATCCATAACCTTTTCAAACTCAGGACTCATGGGTCCTGTCTTACCAAAGACATCCTGGAGGTGTGAAGCCCTACCCTTTTACTTCTGGATATTAGTTTTTACATTTTTTTCCTTTTCCATGAGATGTTTCCATTCAAAATTATGACAAAATGCTTTATAGAATAGAGAAATTTAAACAGTATCTGTCTGTGCAGTGCCTTAAATGAAATAGGCATGCTAATTTCTCTCTCTGATGTAGACCAGATAAATTTCCTTAAGTAAAACAAAAAACTGCGAAAAGTTTGGATTATAATTTCCAAAATTTGCTAATATATTTATTTTCCTAATAAAAATGCCATAACCTACTTTTGTGATACTTTCACTTATTATCGACTTTGTTCACCTTTTATTCATCATAGCTCACAGTCATCTTTTAAATGAGAATTCTGATCATAAAAATACTTTATACAATCATAGTAACCTCTGTATAGAACATTTTTAGGTTTGAAAAACTGTTGAATAAAATTGTTTTATCATGCTGGATTTAAAAATGTTGTAAGGTGGAAGTAAATAACTGAGGTTTCGTATTTTAGGATTTATTTCTTAGTTACTCTAAGATGACTGTTGTACAATTCCATGGAATATAGTGCACACTGGTTTTAAGTATATACAGTATTACACCTTTTCCTATCCAGCAAGTTTGCTGCAGCTAATTTGTGTCTTGGAATTTATTGCAGCTTTATTCTAGGTTTTTTTCTGTCCTTCCCTTTCTTTTGTTATTTTGCCTATGCTAGGAGGAGGCTGGGGACCGTAATACAGCAGTATAAGGGCAGCATATCCAAAAGAGTAAAGTGGTGTAAGAACACGTACTTTGAGCATATTAAGCTGAAAAGTTCTCTAAATCTAAATTAAAGCATGGCATGTAATATGAACATTGTAGCAGATACTCTGCTTTGGAAAAAAGTTTAAAATTATTATAACAACGTATGCATAAGATCCTCCCAGTTTAAGGCAGTATGCTGCTTTTCCTGCAGGTTATGGGTTAGATCAAAGAGCAGTAAGTGCCAAAAATGTAAGTCTGAGTCTGGACTTTGCTGATTGTACTTCTGATGCTTATATCTCTCTAGGAAAAACAAAAAACAACTTTTTTTTTTTTCCTTTGCTTGCCTTTGTTAACTTGAACAGATACAGTTTTTATTCTGTATGTTCTTGATTGTTTTAGAGGGAAGGGCGAGTGGAAGCAGGAGTCATGACAGCAACTACATGGCTAAAGGAAGAGACTCCTCCGTGCAGCTCAGAAAAGGTGAGGTGTCTTTGTGGACTATGGACAAGAGCATGGTAGTCCCTCTAGTTCCTGATGCTACAGTGGCAAATGTGGACAATATGTTCTTAGGCTGGTAAGGCTTTTACCCTAGATTGCACTTGCCATCTCTTATTGTCTGCCTTTGGTTTTACATATTGGATGATGTCATCCTGTCTGTATTTAAAGTGGAACATTCTGAACATCTGGTAGTAGGGTATTCTGTGACCTTTACAAAGCTTGGATGTCCTCAGTCTGGATGAAGTTATTACTAACATGCTGTTATTACAGAACAATATTGTTTACTGAAGCATTGCTCTGTAGTGTCTTAAGAGTGACAGCCTTATACTGGACCTTATACTGGACCTGGTGGTCACCAATGCAAGCGAGCTCGTCAGAGAAGTCAAGATCGGAGGCAGCCTGGGCTGCAGTGATCATGCACTCGTAGAGCTCATGCTCCTGAGGGAAATGGGAATAACAAAGAGTACAGTCAGGACTCTGAATTTTGGAAAAGCAAGCTTCCAGCTCCTCAAGGAGATAGTCAGAAGGACTCCCTGGGAAACAGTCCTCGCGGACAGGGGAACGGAACAGAGCTGGCAGATCTTTAAGGATGTGA